ATGGTTTTAGTAACGCAGTAACGCAGCGTTCCTGCAGGAAAGTAACAGTTTTTTGCAGTCACTGCATGGTCTGACTTGGGGGAAATTTACTGGACATACACTCCTAGGAAGATTGGCAACTGTCTTGAATGTTTTCCACTTCAGACTGAAGAATAATGGACTTCAAATTATTTGGAAATAGCCTTATAGATCTTCCCAAATCATCGGGTAGCAACAGTCACTTTTCTGAGATCACTGCTGATGTCTTTCCACTCTTGGCATTGTGTTAATACACCCACGAATACTCCAGACCAACAAACTGCCAAAACCTCTGCTTTTATAGAGGCGCTTACACATGATCAGTTAATCAAGTGCATTTGATTACCAGCACTTTTGTGCTACTTATCCTCTTAATTCCTATGGAAGCAGAAAGGGTGTACATAGCTCTCTGCGCATTCATAATGATCCTTTCATCTGAGGTTTTATTTACCTCATTTAAAAGACTGGGTTATTGAAATGATGTCCTAATATGGAAAACCTTAGAAATGAATGAGTGTACTTTTTTTTTTAAAACAAGAACGCAAAAGGTAATAAGAAAATTAAAAAAAATGAAAAAAATACTTCTGTTTCAAATTTATTTAGTGACCAGCCAGAATTTGCATGCTGAATTTTACAATTTAATGTGCAATATGTTTTTTTCCTATTCCTTTTTTTGGAGATAATCCCAGCCCAGCTCAAATCACATCCCTGTTATTTCTCTCTGTTTTCTCTGAGTTGCTCACTTTACTCCCTTGTCGCGCTGCTTCTTTCCAGCTTTTACTTTCAATTTGTCCTTCCAAGAAAGCCAGAGGACTTTCCACCTCTCTCTCCACCCTGTCCTGTGAGTGTCTAGCAAACGACAAAGGCAACAGAAAATGAAAAAGGAAAAAAAATCACTGTTGTTTTAAAGCAGGGATAAATTAAGGGCTTTGATTTCATGGATCAATGCTTTGCAATTGATCATTTAGGCTTTATATTGAAGAGACAGGCAGGAGGATTAACTGTCTGCTGTGATGAGGAAATACACACACACAAAAAAGACATAAAAGGCCTTTTGAAGTCTCAGGTTGTCTGATGGGAAAGAATAGAAAATTGTAATTGACACCAAGGCGCACACTCACATATACGCACTGTATAAATTTAGTCATCACCAGAATTTTGAGGTGGTGCCACAATTTCCCCCGATGAGATATCTGAGTATGTGAGGTGAGGTGTTTCCAACTCTGACCCAGGAGCCCATCTGGAAGTCTTCAGAGGAGACTCTCATACACAAGAGGAATCCCAGAGGTCTGCCATGCAGCGCACAATTTGAGCCTCCCATCATAAATATTACAGTAGGAAAATGGGGTGGAGGATGAAATTGTGTCCATGTGCATAGCAAGAAAGATTAGACTCTGAGTGATGCATTATTGTAAGTGTGTAACAGCCACTCCCTGCATCGTGACCCTTGGCACCATTGCACGATCAGACTGTCGGCCGCAATATCCCATGACGATTTCAGTCACTTGTGAACACTCACGAGATGTCACCCAGTTCTGCAGAGGCGCAAGTGACTAAAGCATTACCCTTTGGTGTCTCAGTCTGCCTGTAAGCAATAACATCTGGTTTTGGTGACGCCTTTGGTTGTACCAGCATGCATATGAATGTGTCCGCTTTTCTCTGTGCTTTTCGAATTCGCGGTTTCCCCCTCAGTGAGACACAGGCTGAGAGCTCATGGGAAATATGCACTCAGGCAACCGGCACCCTGGAGAAGGCATGGGGAGGAAATGAATGAGAGATTTCTGATTATCTCAGTACAACATGATTGCTGGGTTTAATTTGTTTTTGATTATACAGTACATGTGGTTTCTGAGTAGCTTGGAGTAAGAAGGACGAATTTTGTTGACGGGTAGATGATGTTTTATTTGATAAAACCAGAATGCCTGATTACTTTTATAATCCAGAGTAACAGCCAGGCTCTAATGTAATATAGTTGCTTTCAGGTAGGATTGATCACTGGCTGAATGTGCAGTTGAATTAACAGTTGACTTTTGATTTATTATATTTGGCTGCAAGAGAACTTACAACTGTTATAAATGATTTTTTTAAAGCTATGGTACAGTACTGTACAAAAGTATTATCTTTAAACATTGCTAGGAAAAGATAGCTGCAGAGATTTATTGAAATAGGTGCAAACATGGAGATATAGTACATAAGGCAAAAAGACAGTCTGTACATTTCTAATAAGCCTGAAAGTCAGCAGAGCAGGAACTTTCTTAGGCAAACCTTCTGGTAATTTCTTTAAGTATCTTCAGGAATACTTCTCCAGGCTTCTTGAAGGACATCCAAATTTTAAAATATGAAAATCAGATGTTCTGAAGGAGGCATTGAATGTTGAAATGTGTTGGTATTTTTTCTGCATTCATAATTTGAACAATTTGACAGGATCCACAACACCACTGGCTAAAATTCAGCTCCAAATCATGACAGCGTCTCCATCATGTTTTACTGATGGCTCTCAAACTTAGAACCCAAATTTGAAATTTGGATTCATCACTCCAAATGTCACTACTGATTTTCAGTCCAGTCCTTGTGTAGTTTGACAAACCTCAGCCCCTTGCTTAAGATGGATGGATCAACTGAAGTGTCATCTCTGAGATTCTTGGTCAGGTATTTGCTCTATTTATTTTCCTGTTTCAATTTTTCATAGCTTCCACTAAAGAAATGCAGCCGACTGCAGTAACAAGGTGCCTAAAGATAAACTGAATATCAGTTATTTGCTGGTTATAAACACTGGTTCTTCCCTTGAATTAGATTCATTTTTCATCCTTGTATGATTCATAGGTCAGTATTAAATGGTTCAGCAAACAAAAACAAACAAAAGTTCCTCGGAAAATGTCAGGTACCAGGACTGGACTGTTAATGAGTGCGAAAAGGATATTTATATGTCTATATGTCTGAAATGTTTTATACTGTGATGGTCAACATGGGGGCATGTTGCTAAATTGGTATTTAGCTCAAATCCTTACAGTGGATAAATTCACCCATGAAGCTGCCAGCATGGCTGACAATGCCAGGAGGAGCACGACAGCTGATCTGACCATTAATCATGATCTCTGTCTCTTTTTTGTTTCATTTTCCAAGGAATGACCGTAAGACCAGGACCAGAGATGCCTGCGTCTTTGCCAGACAGAAACAGAATCCAACAAATCCACATTCCTATCATCATCGACCCTGTGCAGACCAACCCCAGAACACCATACAGCCCAGGCCAACCAGTGCAGCCAAACACACACAGAAAAAACATCAGCCCGCCAAGACAGCCTTTCAGTCCTCGGCAACCAGGTGTGCCGACTGTGCCTGAGATTTCTGTTGTGGAGATGGGAGAGGCAGGACCTCCAGGATACAGCCGCAGGGTGACTGTGCGAAGAGGGTCTGAGGACTCTTCCAGAGACCGTGTTAAAGGGTTTGCAGGAGCACCAGGCGAGTAGTCTTAAGGTCCATGATGACCTCTGGTATCGTCTTAAGCATACAGCTGAAAATCCACTATGAAGGTGCAGGCCTTATTTTATGATGTGTATGAAAATCTGCAATCTAATTAAGTCTAACTCAAGGCCTCTCGAATTTACAGCACAAAACTAATTCAGTTGTATATGAAATACAAATCCAACTCTAAAATTCTAAGGGCAAAAAATCATGCTGTTTTTGTTGCTTCTGCTACATGCAAGGTAACAGACCCAACAAAGGTGCATCACTCCCACATCACTATTTGAAACATGAAGGATTACTGCAGTCAAGGGACCTTTTTTAATCAAAAGCACAATATTTTCCTAACCCTGACCAAGTGTGTTGTAATGCTGGGCCAGGGTTAGGAAGTCAAAAAAATGCAGCAACAGCAAGTAGAAAAAAGCAAAGCCAAGTGAAAAACACAAAGTAAACTCAAGTCTAAGTTGGAAACTTAGATGGATCTGTCCTGCTTTGTATCAATAGTTGAGGCTGCTGGTGGTGTATTGACACACTTTGGACCCCTTACGACTTAATGAATATTATTTAAACACCACAACCTATATATTGTTGGCTCAAATCATCTCAAACGGGTTTCCTGAACCTGACAGTGACGTCACTGTACTCAGATCTCAATCCAATAAACCACCTTTGGGATGTAGTGGAATGGTAGCCAGCATATCTGCAGCAACTGTGTGATGCTGTCATGTATATATGAATCAAAATCTCTCAGGAATGTTTCCAGCACCTTGCTGAATCTGTGCCATGAAGAATTAATAATGCGTGGACAGTTGTTTGTCATCTATGTGAAGGTTTTCATTGGGTGCCAAACCAAATCAGAAGGAAGAGGACGCCGAACATAGATTTAGGCAGTTTGGGGTTTAATTATTTAAGCTGTATGTAGAAAGATTAAATAAAATATCAAACAAAACAAAGGCTTTGTTCTAGCCTCAATGCTTTTTGGCAGTAAAGGAATAGAGAACAGCCTACGTTAGTCATATTGTTACTGTTTACTGGTAGTGTGGGAGAATTAGCCAGGGAAATGCCAATTAGTCTTACCCCCCTTACTTGTAAAACAAAAAAACTTAAAATTCACCCACATCTTTGGGCTTTTGGATGGGATGTGAGATTTGTTTCAGCTTTTCAGTTCTTTATTGTTGCATATTTTTTCTTTACTGCCATCTGAATGCTTGTCATAGGTTGGTTTTTAATTCAGTCTGTTTTTGGTTAATAATAAATACATTTAAATGTCAGTCTTTGTGGAAACTACGGATGCTTAAATCTGATTTTAGATGGCATTATCTTGAAACAGCTGGGAAAAACAATCTGCTTCCAAAAATCCACAATTACGAAGTCTAGAGTTCTTGAAGTTTTGTTTTGATTTATACCTTCTCTTGGAATCTCTCACACAGTGTGCCATAAGATCCAGATGGAAAACCAAAGAACTGTATTTGGCAATACTACAGATCGACCCCGTCTCTTCAGATGACAATAAAACACAATATTTTTGTCATCTGTTTCTCTTGCAGGCTATCCTCCTCTGAAGCCTGTTTCTTTCATGCCTCAATCAGCCAGACGCCAAGGTATTTTACCAGTTCATTATCAAGTTACATCACATGCATCTGCAGGCTTCTTCTACTGTATCAATGTAAAAGAAGAAGCATTGGAAAAACTGTGAATAATTTCTAGTCGGGGAGTGCGAGGGAGTGGGAACTGGATGTGTTTCTTTAAGGGTGTGTGGGCAGATTGTGCAAGGATTTTAGTGCGTCTGCAAGCATTCACCAGAAAGTTTTGTATTTTCTTTATATATATGTACACACACACCAATGACAGATTTATAAGTATAAAGATATAATAATAATAATAATACATGATGTATTACGTATTATGTAATAATACATAATGAGTTAACATGTACTGTGTGTGCCTTGTAGCTCTTACAGCAGTAAAGGTGCCCTGGAACCCGGTTTATCAAGCTCCAGCTGATTCACCAGGTAAACCTGTCCATGTTTCAGCAAGGATTAAAGGCATTACAAAAAGAATTGAATTTATGATAGATACATATTACATACATATTGATTCTGATCAATTTAAATGCAGCAATCATGTATTCATTTATCCATCAGTTGAAACACTGATTGACGACATTCCTGTCTGTTTGCATCCAGTTTCAGTCGACAATAGCGCTTTGGCAGACACCTTCTCCTTCTCTGCCGGCCTCACTCAGCAACGTTTCTCTGGAGATTTTGGAATCATTCGCTTTAACAGAGTCCTAGTAAATGACGGAGGACATTACAATCCCAGCACAGGTAGATCCACACATAAAAAAACAGATTCAGTATTAAAAGGATTGTAACATTTGCTGGTATCATTGTGATACGTTGATAATACGCAGATATGTCGTCTTTTTGCATAAAAATGTGCTGTTATTATGAGCCTGGGCACTTAGTTGTGCTTTGTACAAACAAACAAATAAATAAAACATTAGTTAGGGATTATTTTCAGTTGTGGATTAATACGAAATGTGTTCTCTCATGAGTATTTGAAGCAGGACTGTGAATATAAAGATGATTCAAAATAAACTGCAGGACCCGTGTTTGTTATAACTGAGGAATGACTCACCCAGCACAGCAGAGTGGCTAATTGATGTGTTTTTAATTCTTAATTGGGTAACAATGAAGTCCTGTGACACAGAGGAATTGGATAATTCAGGCTTTGGCTACAGAGCCAAAACTCATTAGGATCAATTCATTGCAGGTCCATGAATAGGGAAGAGACTTAGAAACCAAGAGAGTACTAATCAGTAACATTATTGATTGAACCCAGGCTGAATCATTCCTGTCCTCACCCTCAGGGATCTTTACTGTACCGCTGGATGGCCGATACCTGATTTCAGGTGTGCTGACCGCAAAGCAGGGCGATCGTGTAGAGGCCGTGCTGTCTGTGTCTAACCGCAGCGTACAGAGGCTACAGAGCTCAGGCCTGACTGGTGGTAATTGTGGCTGCGGGGGTACAGCATCCTTTAATGTAATCCTACCGCTGAGGAAAGGAGACCAAGTGGCTATGGTAAGAACCGAAGGTCAGCTGGCCACAACCGAAGCCAGGGAGATCCTGTCCACCTACAGCGGCACCTTTCTGTACCAGCCACAAGCCAAAAGATAGCTGGAGCTCAGGTGGAAAATAACGACGAGGACTACTTTGTTCCCAGACATGTGGACTGGAGGAAATGTTGAAGTGTTGAAACCACTTTTTTTTTTTTTAAATTTATTTGCTGTGATGCAGCTGTTTTACCTGTGTGAAGATCTTTAGTTATAAATTCAGTTAAAAAAGCTGTTATATGGAATTTGTAAGCAATTTTCCAAAGACACCTGATAACAAGAAGCAGGATTTGTATCTAATATATTTATCAAGATGAATGTTTGTACCACCTATTGTAAATGTCTTGTGTAAAAGTATAAATTAACACTTTTGTAAATTTTGTTTTAGCAGCAGCATTCAGAGACTTGGCGTACAGCATGGTCAACAATCATTGGAGCATATTTGTAGGTTAGCTGTAAATATGGACTCACGTCATCTTAAAAGTGCTCTGGGTAATTAGGAAATCTGCACAGAGAGATTAATGAGGAAAGGAAAGACTTAGCAACACAAGATTTTATTAATAGTACAAACTTGGCTGGCTTCTACTGAAGAATACATGGTTAGTGAGCCCCCTCCTTTTTTTTTTCTTTTTTTTTTTGGTGATTATGTAAAGTGGGTGGGGATGATAAATAAATTCCCCCTTTCTCACTCCTGAGACTGACTAAAATTTTCCAGCATCAAACTGTAAGAAGTATTTAGCTTTCAGTTCAGCCTTTGTTAACCCTTAAAAAGGAAAAACTGATATTTTAATTAAAAGCTGAATAAATAAACACTCTGGATTACCATTTTGTATGATTCTTCTTATCTTTATATTATTTAATAAAACCAAGCAAAACCTCTAAAATGACATGAGGGACTTAACCTGCAGTACCCTCATTAGCGTACTGTTACTTCAAAGTACGCAATAGGGCAGGAGTTACTCCACTTGCCTCTGGTTACTGTTGAACTTTTGGACTCAGACTGCAGAAAAGAAAAATCACAGCACGCACATAACTGCATTCATTTAGAAATTTTATTTCATACAAACAAGACCATAAGCCACATGTTAGCTTCATTAGGCCTGATTTTTTTTTTTTTTTTTACTTCTTCTTACAGTTGATTTTGTTCTTCAAACCACATTTCTATTCAAATGAAACACAGCATACATTTAATGCATTTTCTGCTGGTCGGACACAAATACCAAGCATTACATCCAAACAAAAACGGAACAAAACTTAAGTCACACAACAGCTCATACACGTTATAAGAAAAAAACAAAAAGGCATCAAAGAAGAATGTGATGGTCAGCATATATACTCATTCAAACGTTTATTTACCACATATCCCAGGATCAGAGAAGATGAAGTGTGATTCTTTCACACAAGATGCTTTACTTTCATAGAAAGAATGGAATTTCTTGTTGATTTTAAGATAGATCTATTTGACTTCACCACTTTGCAGAGAACAAGCAAACAAATCAAAGCGGGGCACACTGTATTCATCAAAACAAAAAAAAAGAAAAAAAGAAAAGAAATCAGCAGTGCATGTAGCTGTCACCATAAATTGTGCTTATTTTTATGAAATGATCTTGGCTGCTCCTGCTTTTTTAGTCCACACTGGCATACACAGTCAGTTACACTTGCATTGGAGATATGATCCATCTGACCAAAACTCCTTTCCTAAATCATACATAGATAATGCCGGGGAAGTGCCTTAAACACTTCCTGTACAGTCAAGTATTTCCTGTTTATCTCCAAAAAACAGTTTATCCTCCTCTGGTCACCAGAGGCACGGGAATCAGGCTTTTCTGTCTCTCACGCTCTCAAGCACACACATTAAGGGGTAGCTCTGATATTACCTTGCTGCCTGTTACCCCAAATTATCATCATTTTCCTCTGCCTTAAAAACATACACACAAAAAAAGCTACTTGAAACAAACTAAGCTTCTCAAAACTCACTAATAGACAAATTTCAGATTAACTGAATAGTCAAGAAGGTAAAACTCAAACTCTTTATGCTCAAACGCTGCAGTAATTGCATACTCTGGTCTACTGTCTACTTAGACTGTCGGTGAAGTGCATGTGGGTGGGAGATGTGCTGAGTTGTAAGTCTTGAGTTTCTGGGTGCAACTTTGACAAAGTGCGCTGGATAAAGCCACCGAGGGAACCTAAGCAAAGGGTGCAGGATGCTGCCACCCCAACAGCAGCAGCACTCTGTGATTAGGTACACACACACACTACCATCATCCTGCAGTCCATCCTACGGAGGACCTCACAAAGCAATATCCTTCATTTTAAGCTCTTCTCAAATTTGCTTATATCCACTGTTCCATCTCAAGCATCCTCTCTCACATTTACACACATCTGGTAATACTACAGACTCTGAGGTTTTGCTCAGGAATGTCTACGTGCCTTACATGTTGAAAAATTCACTGTTAATAAAAGAAATACAGGCTTGTTGCTGGAGACGTGACCAAAGAAAGCTTGTACAAGGCCTAGCAGTTACTGTTAAGTGCATGTTAGTCTGTGATCAGCCTCACAAAAATACTAATCTGAAATATTGCATTGGTGATCAATTATTTTTTCAGACAAGCAAAGGCCTCACAATAGAAATCAATAACTTAAATACATTGATCATCATAAATAATGACTCCATTGTTAACTAAACACACGTGATTTGCCAGAGCTTGCATAACAGAACAAACATATTAAAACAACAGCAAGACAATACACCATGAAGCTGCTTCATTTTTTTAAGTCACAGCAAACTGTGCATCCTCACATACTTGGTATGGCATATCCGAGGTACGACCTTGGATATTAACAGTACCAAACATGGCTCGCTGTGTAGCGGCCATATGAAATCTGTTGCACAGTCAGGCAAGAGTCAGGAACGAGAGGACAACTGAACACTTACTGTGGCGAGTTCCTGAAATCTAACGGCTGTGGACGGTTCTGTGTTTGTGTTATTCTGTTATTTGCCAACCTCTATCACGACTGTATTTTTAGAACAGAATAAAGCCTCCAATTAAAGGCTGGTTACTTGCTTCTGGGCAAACACAGCACCTACAGTAAAATATGACTGCCGCATAACAACTGCCCAGTGTTAATTGCCTGTCCTGTTTTAATTAAATGTGTGCCTTTTCCATTTAAAACATTACGTTTCACTTCTTCGGGGCGTTTCTTAAATTACTTCTGCTCAGCTCGGAATCTAGCTCCTCATGAGGGACTTCTGCCTGCGTCGTTTATGGCTTTCTACAAGTTTACAAGTTTACCGAGATACTAGCTGGATCTTCAACTGCCAAGTCTGTACAAGAACATGGACTAGAAAGTTATCACTGGGCAGGATGCCTTCACACAGAGGCATACGTGGAGTGTCTCTGTGAAATAAACGCTAAGTTATCACTCATCAGGATTTACTGTTCTGATAATCTCCACTCATCTCTCAAGTAAATACAGTTTACCAACTTTTCTGAGTTCATGGTTACTGTGTCTGTGTGTTGTGTAAGTCTAATTAGCAGGAACAGTTCTGGTTCCACTTCACATGTATTTAGGAGGTGCATTCAGGTGCACAGTTCATTTGAATGTTACTGTATAGCTGGGTATCAATACACACCGACTCAGAGCAGTTCATCTGGATTGATTTCTGGTATTGGCTGTCTCCAGTAACAGAAAGAGCTGTACTCTGGCATTACAAAGGCCTCGTTCTGCTCTTTGCTCAGCAAAGGGAACACGTGCTCCACCAGCTCACTCAGTCTGCCATAGCTGCGAAGGGGGAAAAAACGAAACCAGAGAAACAGAGTGAGCAAGAGAACAGATACAATATATAAATCTTAAAAAATATATACACTTTAGGTATTTAGTGATGAACAAAAAATAAAGAAAAACAAATATTTAAAAAATGGATTTTAGATTTGAAATACGTTGAAATGTATTGATCAATCTAAATACAGAAAGAACAAAAAACACAGGCCACCTGAGGAAAACATTGCAGACTAGAATCAATTTTAAGGTGTGTTTCTGGCCAGCTCTCTTTTTATTTCTGTTTTGTTCTCCATCAGATCCTGTGGGAAATATCTGTCGCTTGAGCTGCTAAAAGCACCACTATGTTCCCTAGTTTTTCTCTAATTTTGTCTGTTTTGCTTGCTGCAGGGTACAAAAGACTCTCTGTGACTGTAGGCTTTTATTCTTTTTACAGTAATGTGAGAGTGAAGGAAACAGTAATGGCTGGAAAAGCAAAACAAGAAAATAAAGAAAACAGAAAAACGTTCAATGATAGCAACGTCCTATACTTCCTGCTGGGGATTTTTGCTGCGAAAGACAAACACAGACCATTAATGTACTTACGAGGACTTGTTGCCCTTGGTCTGCTCCTGGATCAGCTCTCCCTTTGGGTTAACTGTGAAAATTCTGCACACTGGAACGCCGACTTCCTTATAGGCAAACACATCCTGTATGAAGACATAAAGATTAAAGGCTCAATCTTCCCTCTAAAATACGACTGCTTCAAAGTTTAAGTTACGTTTTTTAAATGTTTCCGTTTATAAGCATAGCACAAGCTTTTATTTTGAGTTGGGATTAATTACAAACACATAAACCCCATTTTGCTTCCTCTAAGACAAAGCATGCGAATGAACCTGTCATTTACAGGCTGAAAAATTACTGACAGGGCTGTTAACAGCCATCTGAGAACACTCTTGATTATGTAATGTTCGGAAAGTAGCCTCTCATACATAATACATAATAAACTGAAATGACCACGTTAATAACATTAACCACAGATTTCCTGTTTGTGTTCCACCTAATGCATGTAATGGCAGTAAATTTCTGGAGTAAATGTTTTTGGTTGGCCAGAGGAAGAGTGAGTGTGTGGCTGTGTCTTATTTTTTTGTTTAGGGGAGAGACCGAGGCAGACTGGGCTTTGATAGCTGACCCTTCATGTGACTGTTAGTGTTTATGCAGCTGAAGACGGGATGCTGTGCCCGACTTGAGCTCTCGTCCACAGATGAAGTCACTCGCGATCACACTCTGACAATGACCTCAGCTCAGGTTCAGCCCAGTACTTATTTCACACGTTCATGTCTGCTAACTCAAAGTGTCTGCCAAAGTGTCATGTTGCTCTTGCAATGAATTACAACTGCATCAACCTCTGAAAAGCGCACTTTAAAAAAAACAAAACAAACCAAAAAAAACCCAAAACCCCCCCAAAAAAACAAGCACTCTAATGTCTGGAAGTCTGACATCTTCAAACATGCATTAACTCACATTAGCTCTATTCCCAAAGGCGGCATAAAATGGCTGCTTGTTATGCTGGAACAGGTTCTTGATGTCTGTAAGGCATTCAATCTTGAAGATCTCTGGTTTCTTCTCGATGACCTCTCTGAAGCAAACAGACAGTTTTATTAGAGGGCATACACATCCTTCCCGTGTGTCCAGTTTGAGTTAGAGGTAATTTGATCAAACATATTTCGTTTATCTCAAACCCCTTTCTCCGACTGTTTTTAGATAAGAATTTGTTTATAAATGACTTTTGTCCTCTTTACAAATCGTGTAATAGCACGGCCTAAATCCAACCAATTTCTGTTTAAAATTATGACTCAAAACAAATACACAGATGGTAGGGGTGTTTCTGATTTAAGCAAATTAAAACAAGAGGGACACATAAATAATGCAAATATCTACAAGTGTTTGCACCACACAACTATCAGCAATGCTGCAGGTTGCTATGCTGAGACACTAGCCATTCTGAACAGGTTTCAAGGTCACACAAAAACCCTGCTATGTGATTAACACACT